TAACTCAAGTAGTTGTCTCCCCTCGTACTTCGGGGTTATCTTATTATAATCTCTACCTAGACTGGCAAAGACCGTTAGAGTTTTATCTTTAATGCTGTCTCTTTTAGCAACAAGGGGCCATGTAAAATTTATTGTACCCCCGGGCTGGAGCAAATCAATTTTGAATGGCCGTTTTTATACTAGAGACGCAATTATGCGTCTGGACGCATAATCCGTCTTCTACATTATTCGTCTAGTATAAAGACGGGACGAATAATACTAGACGAATAATGTAGAAGACGGATTATGCGTCCAGACGCATAATGCGTCTCTAGTATAAAAACGGCCAATGCGACGAACTATCAACATTTATTGTTCGTCTGGTTATGCGTCCTCAGTATAAAGACGGGCACAAGACGCATTATGCGGCTAGACGAACTATCATCGGTTGTGCGTCTCTTAAGACGAAGAATCGAACATAGTTCGTCTAGACGCATAATGCGTCTTGTGCCCGTCTTTATACTAAGGACGCATAACCAGACGAACAACAAATGCTTGCCCAAGTTCGTCCAGACGCATAATGCGTCTCTAGTATAAAAACGGCCAATGTTAAAAAAGCCCCGCTTAATTAAGGCTGATTTCCACTGTTGCGTTTTTCGTACGCACGTAAAACTTTGAATCCTTCTATTTTTTAAATATTTTACAAACAAGTTAACCGTGAAATGCATACTAAAACTTGCGGAACACTGTTGCTTGAACTGTTGTTTTATTTATTTGGTTATTTCATAAATAACGTTTAAACGGATTTAAAGTTTTACGTGCGTATACGTACGTATGAAAAACGCAACAGTGGAAATCAGCCTTTAGGTTGGCTGCCCTTGTTCACCGGTCGCATAAAAAAGCCAGAACTTCACTCCAGGAAAAATATTGAGTATTAAGGACTTTCCCAATCGTTTAAGAAGTTTCCGGTGTGAAGTGTTAACAATATAGGAAGCTCGATATGAAACCGAATACTGTAGAACCGAATTTCAATCTTTGAAATAAATTTTAAAAGTATTTTATGATAAAACAGGTGATGAAAAAGTAATGTTATTATTAAAGAGTCAAAACAAAAAATAGTTGCAGAATATGCAAATTTGCCATGGCCGGTTTAAAGGCGCGGTAATTTGAAACTCCAAGCTGTCAGAAGTGACGACATATGTCAAATTGGGGGTTTGAGGACAGCCACATAATCCTATGTCAATAATTTATTATTCCATCGGTCAAGATAGATCACGGATCACAATAACCAAACAGGACACGCCGTTTAGAATGTTTTTCAACGGGATTACTTTTGTCTTTCTTATTACGGGTAAGTTGAAAGCCTATACTAGTAACATGTTTATATTTTGCGTCGGACAAAGACCTTTGAATTGTAGGCAATTATAAAGGGGCTATATTTATGCTGTATAATATCATTCAGTCATATTCTATTTGCCAATGTAGGCATACGGCTTAAACAGTATTGAAACATTTCGTTGAAGGCAATTAATCTCGGAAAAATGTAAGATCACAGTCAGTAGCGCACAGTATCGCTCGAACGTCGAAGCTAGTATAGTTTCTGTCGGCTATCATTCAACAACCATCGGCTTCAATATCAGAGCTGAGAGCAGTAGAGAATACTCTATCACCATTCTTTATTCGTTTGAACACACAAAGAAATCATTTCAAAACAGTTTAATGATAAAAATTCAAGAATAGGTCATATTTTGACAATTGGTTTTAAAGAACAATGCAGTAATAAAAACTATATATAGTATTAATAGAAATATAGTGCATTTACCCAGGCATATGTGATATTGCAAGCGGAAACAGTCATACTATACAACTATATTCTTGCAATGTAAAATATCCGAGTCAGTTCGTATTGCTCCTCCGTGTCGCTTTTAGATAAAACTCCGTGGAGTTATTAAGATGAAGGGATTCCATTAATATACTGTTGTTTTGATAATTTTTGAAGTTGATTCCGGTTGCAAATTTAATTCCGTCTGTTGAAAGTTTCAATGATATTAATTATTAAAGACGCGAAAAATGTTAACAAACGTTGAATAATTATATTATAGGTAGTTATTTAAAGTTATTTAACAGTTTCAAATTTGGATCGAGTTGTTTCGGAGTTTGCCGGTTGAATGTAAAAATTTTTGCACAGAAAGGAAAATGCTTACCGAAATGCCTACATTTTGGATTTTTGATATTTTCAACACCTAATCGTCAATCACTAGCGCAATATTAAACTTTTTTTAACAAGTCTAAGCCAATTATGGCGTTCAGGAAGTTCGCTGAATAAGAGGTTAAATTCTCGAATTTCCATATTTCCGTTAATCTACCGTTGTCGAAACTGTTGTCAAGTAAACGAAACATCGCTTCATGTTTCTGACATGTGTTTCGATCGGTATATAATATCAGTTTCTGATTGCTGACGAACTTGAAAAAAAATATTTCGTTTTGCGATTTTTTTCTAGCGCCGGCAACGCGACCGGTCAAATTTCATTGTGCTGATGGCATGCAACACAATTGTAACATGATACCATTGGCAATCGTTGAACGGATTAATTCATTAATTGAAGTATGCGACTCCCCATAAGTTACTTCTCCGAAGAAAAGAACTACCTTATTTTTGCTCATGAATGATCTAGTTCATGAATTAAAAGTGTTAAAAGTGTCTTTAGTAAATAAAATAGGGTTTATCAAAGAACGAGGCAGTTCTTTAGAGAACTAATTTATGGGGGTCGTATACTTCAATACTATATACTTCAATACTTTACTAGTCCACGTGGACTAGAAAAATATATCTCCAAATGGCTGTGCCATGGGGCTCAAATCGAAAAATGCCTAACTTGGAAAGGGCTTTAAATCCAAAACGGCTTAATTCGAAAGCTACCGACCTCACGCAAGACGAGTTTCAGTACAAATATGGGAATTTCCTCTGTGAGAAAAATGTTCAAATATTGGTCGCTCCCGACAAAAGCCACATGGCTTCGCCTGTATTTTCGTCACCAACACATATAAAGCACTCGTAGGCGTGAGATGTAAGCTATATCGTATAATGCTACCCGTACAAATGTTAAATTCAACAATGGTTGACCAGTCACGAAACCCTATGGCTATGCAAATAAGTCGAAAATCCCTTTTAAAACCAAGTGCAATATAACGTTATATAATATGGCCATAAACAGGTATAAAAATCATTGTTTCAGCGCTAACTCGTGGAAGTTTTAAGTTCATAAAAGTGGCTAGCGCTGGCTTGCCTTTGACTTTGGTGAAAATTTTGTTATTTCGCCGTAAAGTTTACCAGTCGACATTCAGCTGTTTTACATGAATCAATTCTATCACATTGACATTGTCGTTTGTATCTGGTTAGGTTTGGCCATTTTAATTCAAGCTACTGAAATACGTATACCTGTTCGTATATTACGTGAACCGAGCAGAACGGACGTATTCAAGGGAGATTGGATCAAGCTGAGATGTGAAATCGACACAAGCACGGTCAACGTGTCATGGCATTATAAGAATTTCGACGCACTCCCACCTATTACGAACTCTTCGAATGGTACAAGTATTATCACGTGGAGTGAAGGTAATGTTGTGTATGATATTATAATTATTGACGATCAAGTTATAATCTGATTTGATGGTATCTTTTGGACCGGTTTGTGCCGTTCACTTTTTCGACCAAGCTGGTCGAAAAAGGTACTTGAGCGCAGACTAGGAATTTTACAGAAGACCGACGTCTTGGATTTTGCGTATGATTTGACGTAACCGTTCAGAATGAGGCCGGGGGGGGAGCATTGAAATTAACATAACTGGAATGCTACCTCCAACCGGAAATTTGAAGCCAAACTAGAAGGCCAGTCCCAGTCTTTTCACGCATGCGAAGAGCGCTCAATCAGTCAATCATGATATAAACACGCGGGTTTTGACCACCAGACACGCGTGTCTGCATGGGGGGGGGATGTTAAGATTTGGCTGCAAGAAAAAGATAGGCAGTTTATCTGGGCATCAACTATTTCGCTGACCTCAGAATGACATTTCGTCAAGACGTTTTTCTTCAAGATTGCTTTAGAAACAAATTTGACATAGGGTTAGGTTAGGGTTAGGGTTGGTGTTTGGAGTAGGGTTAGTGTTAGTAAAACCGTTGCTTTGTTACGTTTTGTCACTTTGAGGCCAGCGAAATAATCTCTTCCGTTTATCTGAAGGTAGCGTTCCAGTAATTATATTCATTTCAATGGCGCGGGGTGAATGCCTGTCATAACCGCACTGGCTAGGACCATGGCGACATTGCGAATCATGGCGTCGAAGGCCATTTTTTGAAGTGTAAAATTCTTGCCACGTCCCTGTATCTAAATTAAGCCTTGTTTAAGTTTGCTAAAGTCTTCGCTATAAAAACTCGTCATTTTTTTGTATTATGTAGACAACAAGACAATAAGTGTGTTTACTCTCAATGTGGCTGAGCGAAAGAATGGAGTATTCTTAATATACTGTAGGGCAAAAAATGAAGTGAACAATGAGGGCTATGCTTACGAGCCGTTCGAATTTCAGCCAGGTATGCATATAGGGCATATGCTTCTAAAACACGAGAGGTGTCCGTATTAGAGAGATGTATGCATTAGATAGATGTCTGCATTAGAGAGATGTCTGCATTAGAGAGATGTCTGCATTAGAGAGATGTCTGTATTAGAGAGATGTCTGCATTAGAGAGATGTCTGCATTAGAGAGGTGTCTGCATTAGAGAGATGTCTGCATTAGAGAGATGTCTGCATTAGAGAGGTGTCTGTATTAGAGAGATGTCTGCATTAGAGAGGTGTCTGTATTAGAGAGGTGTTTGTATTGGAGAGGTGTTTGTAGTAGAGAGGTGTCTGTATTTGAGAGGTGTGCGTATTAGAGAGGTGTCTGTATTAGAGAGGTGTCTGTATTAGAGAAGTGCCTGTATTAGAGGGGTGTCTGTATTAGACAGGTGTCTGTATCGGAGAGATGTCTGTATTAGATTAGTGTCTGTAATAGAGAGATGTCTGTGTTAGAGAGGTGTCTGTATCAGAGAGATGTCTGTATTAGAGAAGTGTCTGTATTAGAGAGATGTCTGTATTAGAGAGGTGTCTGTATTAGAGAGGTATCCAATTAGAGAGGGTAAGTATTAGAGAATCGAAGGGCCACAATTGGACATGTTTTGTTAAAACCTTCAATTTATTAACTACTTTTTATTTCTTGCATTCTATAGACTCAAAAATTCCGAAAATATCTGTCACTGTTCCGCAGACACAAACGGTTATGGAAGGGACTCATCGCCATACTTTACGATGCGAAGTCTCTAGTAATGTCAAAATAGACAAACTTTATATAATATGGCTGTTTGGTAACCAAATGATAGCAGAGAAATTGGTGACACAAGCAGATAAAGGGAAGCATGAATATTTATTACAATGTATAACGGGGAAAGATTTGGGAAACTATACTTGCGTCGCTAATACAACCATGTATGGGAAAGTATGGCAACACTCAGGGGTGATGCTGCTGACTGGAAAATTTACAGGTAAGTTTTGTACTGTTAGTATGTTGGTATAGGCATGTTAGGACTTTAGTAGGTTTGTAGGTAGGTTAGGTAGGTAGGTAGGTATGAAGATAAGTAGGTGGGTATGAAGATAGGTAGGTATGAAGATAGGTAGGTAGGTAGGTATGAAGATAGGTAGGTATGAAGATAGGTAGGTAGGTAGGTAGGTAAGTAGGTAGGTAGGTATGAAGATAGGTAGGTAGGTAGGTAGGTATGAAGATAAGTTGGTAGATATGAAGATAGGTAGGTATGAAGATAAGTAGGTAGGTATGAAGATAGGTAGATATGAAGATAGGTAGGTATGAAGACAGGTAGGTAGGTAGGTATAAAGACAGGTAGGTAGGTAGGTATAAAGACAGGTAGGTAAGTAGGTAGGTATGAAGATAGGTAGGTATGAAGATAGGTAGGTATAAAGATAGGTAGGTAGGTATGAAGATAGGTACGTATGAAGATAGGTAGGTATGAAGATAGGTAGGTAGGTAGGTATGAAAATAAGTAGGTATGAAGATAGGTACGTATGAAGATAAGTAGATAGGTATGAAGATAGGTAGGTATGAAGATAGGTACGTATGAAAATAGGTACGTATGAAGATAGGTAGGTAGGTAGGTAGGTATGAAGATAGGTAGGTATGAAGATAGGTAGGTATGAAGATAGGTAGGTATGAAGATAGGTACGTATGAAGGATAGGTAAGTATGAAGATAAGTAGATAGGTATGAGGATAGGTACGTATGAAGGATAGGTACGTATGAAGATAGGTACGTATGAAGATAGGTAGGTAGGTAGGTATGAAGATAGGTAGGTATGAAGATAGGTAGGTATGAAGATAGGTAGGTAGGTAGGTATGAAGATAGGTAGGTATGAAGATAGGTACGTATGAAGGATAGGTAAGTATGAAGATAGGTACGTATGAAGATAGGTAGGTAGGTAGGTATGAAGATAGGTAGGTATGAGGATAGGTACGTATGAAGGATAGGTACGTATGAAGATAGGTACGTATGAAGATAGGTAGGTAGGTAGGTATGAAGATAGGTAGGTATGAAGATAGGTAGGTATGAAGATAGGTAGGTAGGTAGGTATGAAGATAGGTAGGTATGAAGATAGGTACGTATGAAGGATAGGTAAGTATGAAGATAGGTACGTATGAAGATAGGTAGGTAGGTAGGTATGAAGATAGGTAGGTATGAGGATAGGTACGTATGAAGGATAGGTACGTATGAAGATAGGTACGTATGAAGATAGGTAGGTAGGTAGGTATGAAGATAGGTAGGTATGAAGATAGGTAGGTATGAAGATAGGTAGGTAGGTAGGTATGAAGATAGGTAGGTATGAAGATAGGTACGTATGAAGGATAGGTAAGTATGAAGATAGGTACGTATGAAGATAGGTAGGTAGGTAGGTATGAAGATAGGTAGGTATGAGGATAGGTACGTATGAAGGATAGGTACGTATGAAGATAGGTACGTATGAAGATAGGTAGGTAGGTAGGTATGAAGATAGGTAGGTATGAAGATAGGTAGGTATGAAGATAGGTAGGTAGGTAGGTATGAAGATAGGTAGGTATGAAGGTAGGTAGGTATGAAGATAGGTAGGTAGGTAGGTATGAAGATAGGTAGGTATGAAGATAGGTAGGTATGAAGATAGGTAGGTATAAAGATAGGTAGGTAGGTAGGTATGAAGATAGGTAGGTATGAAGATAGGTAAGTAGGTAGGTATGAAGATAGGTAGGTAGGTATGAAGATAAGTAGGTATGAAGGTAGGTAGGTATGAAGGTAGGTAGTTAGGTATGAAGATAAGTAGGTAGGTAGTTATGTGGGTGGGTGGGTAGAAAAGGTAAGTATGAATTGAAGATAAGTAGGTAGGTATGAAGATAGCTATGTAAAAACTGGATGAAATAAAATTATACATTTTTGCAGAAAACAGTGGGATGAAGAATAACAGTGGGATGAAGAATAACAGTGGGATGAAGAATCACAGTGGGATGAAGAATCTACTTTCGCTGAATCTGTACTACATCATATTTCTATTGATGATATGGAAAACTATGTGAAATATTGATGTTGATAATAGAGGAATCAAAAATCATTGACGTGTCGGTGATTGTGATCCGCGCTCCGCAGGCGTTGAGTTATAGAAGATTAATCAAATGTAATGATGGAGAAACAATTTCTATTCTCTAGCATGGATAGATCTATTTATACTAGACTTATGAGTATCCAGAAACGAATGAAAGTAATGATTTTGTAAAGTTGAGTTATATAATATTATGTAGAGAAGACAATCTTCGTTTGCATTTGTTTTGGCATAACCGAACATTGAAAAAAGACCGAATTCAGTTACTAGATTTGAAAATATTTTGTGTGCTTATAAAAATTATGAAGTGTCAAGCTTTGTTGTTATGTTAACGTTTTAAAAGATACGAACGAAACTGGTTGTGCCAATCTATTTTGGGCGATATAATCCTAAATCTTCAGCCATTTACAAGCGGAAGTGAATTACAAATCTTGAAATGTTATGATCAAGTGGAGTTATAATATATAGGTTATAATGTAGATATTTTTGTATGTATATTTCATGGGTATAAATTATATAATTGTACGATAATTTATGTTTATTTTGATCTTGGAGTGTATAATTTTGCGTGTCTGATAAAAAATCCGCCATATTGTTTTTCACCGTCGCACCCTTTATATAACCTTTGATTTTCTCATTTTTGCCTGTGCCCACAAACACAGTCACCAGCGATTCAGCGTGTAAAAACATGTAAAATTCATGCAAACCTCTGAACCACTTGAAACATTTGAGCTCATTTTGCATAGCCCCAATTACGTTGAGCACATGAAAGCTGAGTTGGAGTAAAAGCCTCAAGTGACCAAATACTTTAATATTTAAAAAAGGCTGCATAACTATATGTATGTATTTTGTAAACTAAAATATTGTAAAAATTATATTCTTGTTGCAGTATAGTACAGTATACATTCACTGTCACTCGTGCATGCTGGCTTTTACACCTACAATCAACACGTACGATTAAGAAACTCTTTGAATCGTTGAAAATATTTTACACCAGTAAACGCGAAGAGTATGATGAGCACATATTGCATACAGAGTTACAGTTACACTGTAAAAGTCAACATTCCAAACTTCGGCGAATCCAAAAATTAACTAGGAAAAACTTCAAAAAATTGTATAAAATATTCCTACTGAAGATCTTTGAAATCGCTTCAAAAATCCCACGGAACTTTGAAAATTCCAAAATGTCCACACTTTTTCATGATATGTCTTGACATGATCTTCGAAAAAATTCAGCAGTTTTGTGTATCAGCTTATCACAGGTTCAAAACGGCGATAAAACAAACCAAAATTGATGTAAGGAATGACGTTTGGGTCGTTGTGTAAGACCACCCCGCCGCAGCTGAAAAATAAATAAAATAGTGTGTATATTGTCTCAACGTTCAGTGTTGTTCTGGGGCCGCGGTTGTTCAAAGGTGGGTTAGCGCTAACCCTCGGTTAAAATTTAACCTGCTGTCATGGGCGTACGGGAAGGAAAAATGTAGGGGGGCGGAAAGAAATTTGCCAGACTTTTTCGGATTGTGCCCGCGTTGTCAAAAAAAATTTTCCGGAGAAACTTTCCAAAATTGTTGTCGACGGGGGG